GACAGACAGACAGACAGACAGACAGACAGACAGACAGATCCCTACACTGTCCAAATTAGCTAATGGTGGTTTAAATAGCTGAGACACAACTTGGTGGAATTGAGTAGAAAAAGGACCCAAATCTGCTTGCCTGACCATTTTTAGGGAAATTGCTGCTAATGAAAGAAAGAAAAAACCCTAATAATGTTTCATTCAGCCATTTAGAAAAGAATGACTTTCCTGTGGGAGAACAGGTGGGAATATTTTTTCAAGGCTGGCATGTTACATGAGTGCATATAAAATATCACCCTAATGTAAAAGAGAAGAGTAGTAAATTATACATACAGAAGTCTCATTTATTTAATGTTAATGCTGGGGGAAGAAACAACATTTAATAGTATCCCAAGGCTGACTTTGTTATTTAATACACCAGCAAGTAGTTCAAAACTTACAAGTCATCAATATAGTGTCTAGCTTTTTTTAATGGGATGTTGTGCATTTTGTCTTTCCTGTTATACTGTAATGCTTAATTCTGCTTATTTTGGAGATATGTTGAGTCAAAACATTCTCTATACTGCAAGATATCTTAACCTGTTGCATAATACCAGACATAGAAGCTTATTTAGGATATCATGGAAGCACTTTCCTTTGATTGACATTTTTGGCTAAGAGCATTTACTGCAATTGGCTTAGCTGAGTTGATTAGAACATTCCTCTGGGTCAATTTCCCTAGCAACTTATATTGTTTCTGTTGTTAGATCTTCAGCATTGCTGGCCTTGGTCCCTTGCATGATATCAGCTGAAGTTCTTTGCTCCTTAAAATACATCAAGACATGATGGGGAGTGGGGTATGACATTGGACAAAAGGAATTTTTTTCATTTTTGACTAAAGTATGACAAAATGAATGAGCATTTTTTTTTAAAAAAAGGGGGGCATTCATTACAAACGGCCCAAAAAAGTAAACAAATAAATATGAAATAAATTGTCCACGTGGGACATTTTATTGGTGGTTCCCTCTAAGATTAAGAGTTTAGTTAGTATATCTTTAAGGGGAATGAGCTCAGTTAGATGCCATACAGACATCAATGATAGAAAAGTCTGATATTTGGTCTATTATCTACTGGCAATCAGCACCTTGCTTTTGAACAACAAATAATCCATTCCTATAATAGTGTTTCTCAACCTTGCCAACTGTAAGATATGTGGATTTTAATTTCCAGAAATTTCCCAGACAGCATGCCGTAGTATAGACTACTTGTAATATTAACATTTCCAACGTTGTCTGTCTTTGTGTGTGTGTGTGTNGAGAGAGAGAGAGAGAGAGAGAGAGAGAGAGAGAGAGAGAGAGAGAGAGAGAGAGAGGGAGAGAGGGAGAGAGGGAGAGAGAGAGAGATGCATTTCAGTAGGCATTTGTAATTGCTGCCTACTCCTTGATTTTTCTTTATTCTATTGTTGCCATGGAATGAAAGCAGATTCAATTCCTAGAGGATTATTTTCTTTAAAATAAACATTTAGAATTTTAGTGGTTTGGTTTGGTTTGGTTTGGTTTGGTTTGGTTTGGTTTGGTTTGGTTTGGGCCAAGAAAAGCCCATCGCCAATGACTCCTTGCAAACCAGAGACATTTTTCCCAGCTTAAGCTGAGCCACATCTTTCGTTTCATTTCTTAAACCAGAGTGAGACAGATTCAGAGTGTTAAGAAAGGGCAGAAAAGCATTATTTTTAAGGCTATTCTAGGGAGCAAAGTGCTTGGAAGTTTTTCTACCTGACATGCAAACTGACATAATCAGCTATGGGTCATGTTCATTTTGATGTATTTTGGAGTGAAACTCCAACTCTGATGTTAGAGTGCCAACCAACATCCTTATTATATAATCTATGTTTGTTTATAAATAAAGGAATAGCTCTCATTGCTGCTAGAGGTTTTCATCTCTAAATGAATTAGGGGGAGATGGATAGACTTCAACAACACTTGCAAGAACATTATGATTTTCAGTATTATGAAGGGACCTGAGCTCCAGGGTGTTCCTTAATTATAATTGTTTCCTTTTTAGTTTGTGGCAATGTTTCCTCTTTTAGTCAGGCAAACTGACAATATGCCTTCATCCAGCTGATGACTTCTAACAAGTAAACAGTCTGATCTTCTCTTTCATTATCCTCAACCTTACCAAGGGTCCTCTGAAATTAGTCCCATGTTGGTTCTCTTCCTCTTTAACACACTTTATAGATTTAGTATTGTTTACAAACTAAGAAGCTTTCAGCTAAGGTGCAAGGAACACCTAATCCATTTTTTTGATTGAGTGTCACATGGATGCATGAAGAGCCAAAGGGAAACTAATTCTGAGTGCAGACTCATCATAAGGAGGCTCCATATCTGGCAGTATGGTGGTAATCTGCAGATTTGCATACTATTTTTTAAATATAATAATAATAATAATAATAATAATAATAATAATAATAATAGTAGTAGTAGTAGTAGTAGTAGTAGTAGTAGTAGTAGTAGTAGTAGTAAAGTTGGAAGGGACCTTGGAGGTCATCTAGTCCAACCCCCTGCTATGGCAGGAAACCCTATACCATTTCTGACAAATGGCTGTCCAGTCTCTTCTTAAAAACTTCCAGTGTTGGAGCATTCACCGCTTCTGGAGGCAGGAAGTTTCTCCTTAGTTCTAGGTTGCTTAGTTTCCACCCATTGCTTCTTGTCCTGCCTTCACGCGCTTTGGAAAATAGCTTGACACCCTCTTCTTTGTGGCAGCTCCTGAAATATTGGAACACTGCTATCATGTCCTCCCTCGTCCTTCTCTTAATTAAACTAGACATACCCAATTCCAGCAGCCGTTCCTTATATGTTTTAGCCTCCAGTCCCCTAATCATCTTTGTTGCTCTTCTCTGTACTCTTTCTAGAGTCTCAACATCTTTTTTACATCGCGGTGACCAAAACTGGATGCAGTATTCCAAGTGTGGCCTTACCAAGGCATTGTAAAGTGGTATTAACACTTCACATGATCTTGATTCTATCCCTTTGTTAATGCAGCCTAGCACTGTGTTGGCCTTTTTGGCAGCTGCAGCACACTGCTGGCTCATATTTAGGTGATTGTCCACTAGGACTCCGAGGTCCCCTCTCACAGTTACTACTATTGAGCAAGGTACCCTCTATACTATACCTGTACATTTGGTTTTTCTTACCTAAATGTAGAACCTCACTTTTTTCACCATTGAATTTCATTTTGTTAGATAGCGCCCAGTGTTCAAGTCTGTCCAGATCCTCCTGTATCCTAAGCCTGTCTTCTGGAGTGTTGGCTATTCCTGCCAGCTTGGTGTCGTCTGCAAATTTGATGAGTTCCCCATCTATCCCCTCGTCCAAATCATTGATAAAGATGTTGAAGAGCACTGGGCCCAGAACAGAGCCCTGGGATATATATAAGAGAAGGTCAAAAATTACGTAGATTCTTGTTAAGTACAGAAGTGTCCGAATTCACGAAAAAAAAGATCGTGGGTGGAGTCACAGAAAAAAGACAGTAAACCGACTAGCTCATAATCACTTCACCGTTCCGTGTCTATTAACTAAGACAGTCGTTGTTGTTTTCATTTTTTGTACATATAAGTCTAGGTTATCCTTATCATCTTTGAGAAGAGCCTGATGGATGTTCTTTAGCAGTAAATCCTTGCTTTTGAAATGTATTACCAAAGAAGATACTGTATGCCTGGCATCCATTCTGGTTTTATTTTTTTGCACCAGGATAGGATTTTTTTTAATTATTCCAGATTTATTAACTTTTAATTTTAATTTTAGTACCACAGCCCATTCTGTTACTAATTTCATTCCTGCTATTTAATGGTGACAATAGAATGGAATTAAGTTTTTTTTTACTTTTAACTCATTTTATATGTATTTTTAAACAGCTTTTTTTTTGCTCTATGTTGCTCTGATAAGTGCTTTATAAGAAAGAAAATTAAATAGAACTCAAAGGAAAAAATGCAATCAATCCAAGGGAAAAGAAGGTTAAGATCTCAATTTTTGGTTTCTTTATCTACATTTCTCAGAGCCTCCCAAATTCTATAGTAGTCAGTCCATGTCCCAAGTCAAACAAATTGCTTTGATATAGAAAAGACCATCAATTGGCTTCTTACAGCATGATTTAGTGTCCCTCACCTCAAAACAATAAAAATGTAGCAAGCATAGATTTTTTTTACAAACCAAATCCCCATTTTTGTATCCACAGATCTTGTCAAAAACACCATTGTATACATTCTTGTTGCTTTAACTACTGTCATTCATCCCAACAAGATGATAATTGGCACTATAGGAGCCATGCAAATTTGCCATGCATTATCGATGGCAGAACAAATGCCCTCTTTGTAGCTATAGGCTTTGACAAATGTGTAGAGTTGTGACCTGGAGCTAACTGTTCTTCTTTCACAGCTGGTGAATGAGGCACTAAGAGTGTCTCTCTGGGTTCCTGACTTTATTGCTTATATGCAAAATCTACTCTTACACAGAAAAATATGGCCCCTAATTGCTGCCAATTAGCCCTGCCAGCTTGCCTTGCTGAATAGCGCACCTCATTAGCCATTACAGTTTCCTGCTGAAAATCAGCTCAATGCCTCCTGCTCCTCCTAGCATCTGTTCAGGAGCTGCTATCTCGTGGCCATCATGTCCTCTCGTGTGTCAATTGCTGCCTTATTAAAGAATGATAGCTTGGGTTATGGAAAGTGACACATGAGCATCATCGGATCAGATTCCAAGAACCCCCTCTGCTTTATGAGCATTTGGAGTTAGGGAGCCAATGTTTTCAGCAAACCCTTTGCCAGCTTCTGATCATCTGGGCCAGTTAAATCAGTGACCGAGATATAGCAAAGAAGAACCACTTAGTTATGAAGCAAATGTAAGGTTTAGAAAATGACAAACCTGGGGGAGGGGAAAAAATCTGTACCAGGTTATTCTGCGGTCAGAATAAATAATTCTGGTTGTATTTCTCTTATGACTTTTTGCCTTTTTTCTGTTTTGTTTTTCTTTTATTTGCAGCATCTCAGGCTATGGAGCAGCTGGTGGCAAAGGGAAAAACAGTATGATGAGATCACATGGTGTGACTGTCGTGGGAATATTTCCACTTGAGAAGAATGATACCTTATATATCTTGGTGGGACAACAAGGAGAAGATGCTTGTCCTAGTGTAAGTGATTATCCTTCCACCATTTATTATGATGACTTTTCTTCCCATTTCTGTGCAGCTGCTAAAATCTTGGCATTCTGAGCTTCCCAGCCTTTGTCCTATTGATTGTAGCCTGTTCTTATATCCTTCCCATCATCCAACAAAAGTATCTGGCCCAGGAAAAATAGCCTGTTCTGATTGCACCCCACATACAAACATTTCCTCTGCTCTCTGCCAAGTGCCACTGTAGATCAGTCACTCCATCTGCCTTCCTGACTGCACACAGCCTATCATAACGTCAGGCGATGCATTTTCAGAGGTTTAAAATGATGTCCATCTTTTGCCAAGTCTGTTCTTCTGAATGGGAATTTGATTTCTGGTATAAAATGCTGCTGCAGCATCTGGGTAAACTATCTAATGGAGGAGGGGGATGGGATGGATGTGATTGCCGATGGGTTGTGTATCAGGAAAGAAACTTGTACTATGGTAACAATTTCTCAGGCTCTCTACTTACCCAGTAAATAAAACTCATTCATCTTGGGAGTTATTATGCATGAAGCATCTTAATGTACAAACTGGAAGCCTGCTTGGTTCTAGAGCACCAGATGTGGCAGCTGGATTCCTGCAGACAATGGTGGCAGGGGGGAACAGATGATAGGACAGTGATTTAACTGGGTTATGAGTATGATGGATTCAGGCACATTTTTTTCAAATTTATTTTTTAAATTTTGGTCTATTTTTTTATATGGGAACTCCAAGATACAGAAAATATTCAGTGATATCTTTTTAAATTGCCATCCTTTTGCTCTTTGTATTCTTCAGGGCTCTTGTCTTGAGCATCTTTTGGATGGCTAAGATCTAGACAGTGGTTCTTTATACTCTACCTGAACAAATGAAATTGGGGGTTGCACAATATTAGAAAAAATAATATCTAACAAAATGAAATTCAATGGTGAAAAAAGTAAGGATTTACATTTAGACAAAAAAAAATAAGTGCATAGGTGTAGTATAGGTGGTACCTTGCTCTACAGTAGTAACTACAAGACAGATCTTGGAGTCCTAGTAGATAATCACTTAAATATGAGCCTAGTGTGCTGCAGCTGCCACAAAAAGCCAATGCAATCTTAGGCTGCATTAACAGAGGGATAGAATCAAGATCACATGAGGTGTTAGTACGACTTTATAATTTCTTGGTAAGACCACACTTGGAATACTGCATCCAGGTTTGATTGCCACGATATAAAAAAGATGTTGAGACTCTAGAAAGAGAAAAGAGAAGAGCACAAAAGATGGCTAGGGGACTGTGTGATGACTCAGGGCACAGCACAGAGGCAATGCAGTCAGCTGGCAATTCAAACTGCCCTTTAATTGCTCCAAATTTTCCCCAAATACTCCCACATTTCTAGCAAGCCTCCAAACAAAGGAAGACACACACCTCTGGCTGCAAGTAGTTTCATATACAGTCTGATTAGGAGAGGAGGCCACAGAGATAACAAGGAATGACACATACATCACAAACCTAACGAGTCTGTGTGAATACACGCTTGCCTGAGAAGTTTCAAAAGGGAAGCCAAAATACAGTCCGATACCTTTGAACATCCAAGCAGCATTGTCAGCCAGTCCAATGGTCAGAGTTTCCGGGTTTCCAAGCAGAAGTCACAGAATAAGAGATCAGCAACAACACACATAAAACTCCAAGGAATCAGCATTTGTTCCAAACAAATGCCTCTCCCCACAGCGTCTCCTTAAATCTCAGTCTCCAGGTGTGCCTTGTGGAGAGGGGTGGGATGCTCTCCTCCCAAATAGTTGAGCCTGCCTGCATTGTTCCCTCCTTCTCTCCACTCTCCGTGCTCGAGGATCAGGTGGAGGTGGCCCTTGCTCATCCCCTGAACTCTGTCTCTCCTGTTCATCCTGTGCCAATCCTGAAGGGCCCTGGCCTGCCTCGGCCTGCTCTGAAACCCACATTCCTCTGAAACCACAGACACCTCTCCCTCGACCTCCATAGGGTCCCGTTCCAGCTCATTTTCCTCTGCAGATTCAGGCTCCGATGGAGGCATGACAGACTGAAAGCTAAAACACATGAAGAACGATTGCAGGAATTGGGTATGTCTAGTTTAATGAAAAGAAGGAATAGTGCCTGACATGATAGTAGTGTTTCAATATCTAAGGGCTACCACAAAGAAGAGGGGGTCAACCTATTCTCCAAATTATCTGAAGGCAGGACAAGCAATGGATGGAAAATAATCAAGGAAAGAAGCAATCTAAAACTAAGGAGAAAATTCCTGACAGTTAGAAAAATTAATCAGTGGAACAACTTCATCAGAAGTTGTGGGTGCTCCAACTTTGGAGATTTTTAAGAAGAGATTGGACAACTATTTGTCTGAAATGGTATAGGATTTCCTGCCTGAGCAAGGGATTGGACTAGAAGGTCCCTTCCAACTCTGTTAATCTGTTATTCAGAGATCACTGTTGCTTCTTATAAATGAATACAAGAAGTTGTTTGTTCTTTTGGAACCAGACACTTTTGCTTATTTTGTATCAGTGATCTGGACATTGCAGCATACTCTAATATATGAAGTCATTAAATTACAGGCCACTGTAATCTTTACAAGAATTTATTGAGTGGTAATGTAATCAAGGCAAAGATATTGTATTGACTTTGTGAAAGTAGTAGCAGTAGTTTTAACTTGATTTCATTGTAATCAGTTATGTGTTTGCTGTGAAATGTGTTTCATATACATAGTATATATACATAAAATACATTGTGTGTGTTAATGTGTGTGTTTGTGTGTGTGTAAGAATCCAACTGTGATGTGTCACAACTGGAGAAGTGAATGGCTAATTAAATAGCTTTGAGTCACTGCATGAAGTTGTTTGATTAGCCATCCCTCCTCCAATGTGAATTGGATGCAGCTAGTAGATGTTTTCTTATGATACCAAATGGCCCTTGAAGGACCAATTCTAATCAAGCTCCTAATGATCAACAAATTAAACTTAAAAGATATATGTTTAGTAAGTTAGTACAGATTAAGTTCTCTTTTTCTTCTTGTAAATGTTAAATTATTGTAGCTGGTTAATAATGTAAATAACCTACAGAGTAAGAATAATGCATGTTTTTCTGTCTTTGGTCTGAAATTCTTATTGTGAAGCATGAAGCAAGACCAAAGGTGCTTTTTTTCTTTTTATAGATTATAGATTAAATTAATCTAAATAACATGGCATGGCCTGATATATTCAAACAATACATCTGAAGCAGAAGCCAATTCCTGCCTGTTCATTATATGATAACCCTAAGAGAGAGATGTTTGAATTAACAAGAAACAGTATGAAGTCGTGGACATAGTTCTGTGTAATGATTTTCAAGGAATTAATTTTCTCAGTCATCTGGCAGCCATCAAGTATCTACAACAGCATCTGCAGTAGGGGTGAAAGTCTACATAAACACAGTTGCAGTATCACAATCCGAGATCTCTTCCTTCCATATGTATAATGATGTAGCATGTGCATAAAAAAGGGACAGGGTTTGGCTCACAATGCTATGCCTACCATCTTACAGATTTTGAAAACATTGACACCAAAAACCTTGGGTTGCAATCAATCAGTTGCAAAAGAATCACCTCCAGGTGACATGGGCGGCATATAAGATGGATGGATGGATGGATGGATGGATGGATGGATGGAGGAAGGAAGGAAGGAAGGAAAGAACGAATGAACAAATGAATGAATAAAACATTCAAGGAAGTATATAAATATTCTGTGACTATTTGAACATGTACAGAGGCAGAAAAATGGATTGCAATGAACAAATGATGCAATATAATTGACTGATTGATTTAAATGTTTGTGGCTGCCTATCTCAAATTCATGACTCTGGGAATCTAACAACAATTAAAAACTCTACAATAAAATAAAACAAGTTGAAAAACAGCACAAATAAAATTGACTCCAACCTGCATGGCCAGTTCAAAACTTAGGCAAGCTGTAGTTCAAAAACATCTAGAGGAATGCTTAGAGCGTTAGATTATGAATTCAAATTCCTATTGCAATGATTATTCTTCAACATAATCTAATCCCTCAAACATGAAAAGTCAGGTTTGTATCACCTTAAGATTCATGAAAAAAAGCTGGAATATAAGTAAGCATTTTAACAATGTCAAGCAGGTTTGGTTCCAACCTCCGAATACGCTCTGGAGTGAATGCATTCAGTCACAGGTAATTTCTCATCTATATGTTAGAAGTTCCCTAGAAACAGAATATATCCTTCTTCTTTTTTTACACTGTGTCTATTCTGGCAGTAAATTTTTATTAACAATATTTATAAGACATCCCCATCCACATGGACTGAGAGCCAATCTAAAGTAACCAGTTTTTCATCAGTATGTAAGCCTACTTTTAGAAAAGAATATACTGAACTTCTGAGTCTCACAGTACAGATAGTATGCCAACATACAATTAAAATTTGTGTTGTTTCCCAATATAGCTGGGGTTGAAGCAAGGTCTCTCTTGCTGGGCCAAGGAGCAGAATGACAGACCCAACATTCATAACTCTGCCACTCTGTGAGCTCAGTAAAGCAATGTGGTACATTAAGAAATAATTTCTAATAATTAAGCTTTGATGAAAAATATCTTGAAATATTCAGGAAGACCAAATGGTCACTGGCAGGAAGATAGATTTGTTTTCCAATCATCTCTTTGCAAATAAAAATACACCATTGCCTGAGGGAATTACCTAGCACAGGGGTGTCAAACTGCTGGCCTACAGGCCGAATGCATCATAGCGAAATCGCGCCCACCCCATTGCCGACAATGGCAAAAAAGTCGCAATACATTGCGACACATCACGTGATGTTGCGAGTTTGACACTCCTGACCTAGCACTTTTACCATTGCATTAAACAGCAAATTAGCACAGTTAAAAGCCAGGCAAAAAACTAATTTCTATTTCATAGAACCTGTAACCTACTATCAGTTTCGTGCCAATTGGCTTGGGCTTGTTCTAGACATGCCTCAGAATGTCTTACTTCATGGCTTTCTAGTGTATCATTCTGTATTTCCTGTAATAAAATCGAAAATCAAAACCTATCAGGAGGTAAAAAATCTCTAGCACACTCCTTTTCATACTAAGCTAATTGCAAACTGTTCCTTATGCAAAAGAGGATTCAGCTACAGCCTGAAATAGCCAGATGATAAACTTGATAACAAAGCTTGACTATCCCAGAATTTAAAGTTTGCTAATTGCAAATTGTTCCTTATGCAAAAGAGGATTCAGCCACAGCCTGAAATAGCCAGATAATAAACTTGATAACAAAGCTTGACTATCCCAGAATTTAAAGTTCCAGTACAACTGAGGACAACTGGATTAGAGAAAACAGTTCTTTCACTTTGGAACTCTTCTCATTTTACTCCAGGTGTAAGCTAAGAATTAGGCTTGGAATGACATAGGTTCAGTAGCTCTGGTTTCCATGGAGGGAGGCCAAGAAGAGATGTCTCCATCTGAATTTGTTTACCTGGTTGTATCTGCAGATCCATCATGCCATACAAAAAGTTTGCCGTGGAGAGAATAATGTGGTTGAAGATGAAATTAAAGCAAATGGAAGCATCCAAGAATGGGCAGGAGGAGGAGGTGGAGGAGGAGGTGCAACTTACATATTTAAGGTATTATTATATTAAGGAGTACCTTATATTCTAATTATGGGCTCTTCTTTTGGAGGCAGAGGATTGAATTTGAGATTTTTTCAGGCAAAATATTTCTCTAACACTGGGTTGTATTAAGGGAAGAAGGTAAGCAGAAAACTTGAGGGTGTCAAAAACAGAATGAGTAGCTCTTTCAGAATCTGACTTTGGGGAACTAACTCTGAAATAATGTAAACCTTGAAGCAAAGCCCCTGGTTCCTGCATTGTCAACACCTTCTCTCTTCAATCACAGCCTCAAGGAAGTCATTGTCTCTCTTTTTTTCTTAATAATTTCAGTTTGTACTGTGCCCAAAGCATTATGTCAGAGCATGCACAGTCTTATTGTCCTTAGGTAACCCAGGAGTAAATACAGTAAACAGTGTTTTGTATTAAATGGTGGTTTACAATATCTACAAATATACTAGAAACAAAATACATACATGTGGTGATAATTCAACAAACTCCAATACACAGCAATTACAGCAGGAAACGGACAAGAGAGAGAGAGAGAGAGAGAGAGAGAGAGAGAGAGAGAGAGACTCCAGCAAGGCCTTCCCTTTTATACTCAAGCTCTTAAAGGGATAGCGACTCCTGCTGAGTCATTCCTAACATTGCACCATTCATCTCACATTATACAAGCTGGTTAGCTTCTAAATCATTACCTTGACACATTAACTGCTTTAGAAGTTTTGCTTATTGCAGTTACTTCATAGGAATACATAGGAATCCATCATAGGAAAAAAAGTAGGGATGTTTTAAGTGTCATGGTCCATATTTAACATTTATGCAAGGTTAAGAGCTGCAAAGAAATCTATATATGAACAGGTTTGAGTTTTTAAGGGTTGCCTACCTCTTTTTTATACCAACATATACCTTGCATTGTGTTAGGGTTAAAAGAAAAGAAAAGACACCAGGTTACATAGCTCCTACTGAAAAAGCAGTAGAGACCAGGACCGGGAGGGTTTTTGCCTATCTGGATCAGGACATAATGAAGGCAAACACTCATACCCTTGACACTTCACAATTGGATGGCTGACATGTGATCTATTGCCCTTAAAGACCTCCTGGAAACTTCACCTGGTGCAAAATGTGGGTGCCCATGTGCTTATAAGACAATGACAGTACAGTCATGTAATACTATTTTTATGGGAGCTGCATTGGCTACAATTCATTTCTGAGCATAATTCAAAGCACTGATTATCATCTACAGAGTTCTATATGACTTGGGGCCTGGGGATGTTTGTGACCATAAATTCTGAACAGAGACTGCTTGCAGAAAGTAACTTATCAATAGGTACAAAAGCGAGGGAGTATTGAAGAGGCATTTGTAATGGCTTCTTCCATCTTTTGGAATAACTTAGCCATCAGGGCAAGGATAGCTCCCAATCTTATAGCCAACTGGGGAATGATTAAGCCTGGCTAATCCAGAAGACCACAGCTGAAATCAGACCTGTGACCATCAGTGACACTGCGATTGTTATTGTGTTGTAGTTGTTGCGTATCATTGATTTTTTATCTGTATTGCATTATACATTATTTTCAGAAGAGTGAGGCAGTTTATAAATTGATCAACTAGGGACCTGACTAATATATTCTAAAATTGCTTTTTCTGTCCACCATTGGATTCTGTAAAGCCTTTCAAGCCACAGCAGCAGCATTTCAAAATTAAAGCCAGAATACCTAAAATAAAAAAATACCAGCCCATCAAGATTGCCAATACAGGCACAGAAGCAACTGCTGTCTGGTCTATTCTGGAAAAAAAAAAGCATCTGTAAATTGTGGGTAGCATCCCAAAAAAAAATTTGCCTGTAGCATCCAAAATCTATTAAGCCAAGATTTGTTAAATCAAGGGTTCACTGTGCATAAAAATGCAACAGTAATTTAGATCAATCTACAGCCCTGTGGGGGTTGCGAAGTGCAGCCTACACATAAGGAACACACTTTTTATTTGCACACCTGGCACAGTTAAACTCTCTTTTTATTTCTACCTTTGAAGATGGAGAACGGAAAGCCAGTGCCCTTGATCATTGCAGCAGGAGGAGGTGGCAGGGCCTACAGGGCCAAAGCCTATGTATTAAACCATGAAAGGCTGGAGGATGATTTATCTATTCCAGGGTTCAATGGGAAATCTGGAGCCGCAGGTAAGAAATTGTCCCAACCTCTTTGCCAGGCTTAACAAAAGACTTAGTAAAAGCCATGGCTTATGATCCACAAAGGGATTTCCAAGCAGTCAGAGCAGGCATGTGGCATCAGCTGATCTATTTCCGCTGCCTGAAAAACAAAGGTTGTCTGTTGAAAAAGCAGCAGTCGGTGTCCTCAGCCTGGGAACTGCTGCAGTGTCAATTCATCAGACCAGGTTCACACTGTCCATATGGTTCTCTCTTGTTACATTCATAAAATTATTTGGATCACAGCCATTAACATTAGTGAAGAAGGATTGCTGGAGCACTATTGGTGGGAACTTAGAATCTACAGCTGTCATTTTCTTCCCATACTGTTTTGCAGCATTATTCATGTTACTTTGCCTAATTTATAAATATTCATGAGATTTGTTCAAAGAGAATGATATGCTTTGGAATATATACAGTGCTTGAGAAGCAGAAAAAATATAAATGATATTTTGACCAATTAATCAGAGTGATTTCTTCCACCAGAGCTTGAGAACAAATAAACTCAGAGTGAAGATTATTCAATACAGATTAGCTATCTTTTATACTTACAACATATAGCAGCAGTTTGTATTTGCAGTTAATAGTTTTAAAATTATTTTAATATATATGTATCCTGTTTTATTGTTCATAAAAGAGTAATATTTTTTGCAAATCAACCCACCTCTAAATATTTTTTAATTGTATAGATTAACATGGGATTTTAAAAATGCTTCTGCAATAATGTATACTTTAAAAAGGGATCTTTTGCTCTGTTATTCTTTCAGAGTCCTAATGTATCTACCTAACACTAGAGCAAGATTTAAGGGCAATTTATCTTTAAGAATAGTAACATAATCTCTGTTGCTGACAATGGGGGTAAAGGCAATAATATATACTATTTATTCTTGGTTTGTGGTAAATTAGAATGATCTTGCAAACAATCCAGATATCCGCATTAGCTTGGTTTCATGATCTTTATTTCTAATATAATAACCATTTTAGTAGGTATTCTATTCAGTCAATGCTTCTTCCCTGTCTCTGCCTTTCTAATTGCCCAAACTCCTTCAAAATATGAATTTAAAAGGTGCTCAGATTGTGTAACATTCTGTTTTTGGTAATGCAAAAACTCTGCGACTGATCAGATCAGGCTTCTGATAAGAGTTGCCTGCTGTTTCCCTGAGCACATGTTGTATGGGAGACAGATGGGCTCAGAATATGGTAAAAAAAACTCGTGATAGCAGCCCTAACAATGCTTCCTTCCTTCCTTCCTTCCTTCCTTCCTTCCTTCCTTCCTTCCTTCCTTCCTTCCTTCCTTCCTTCCTTCCTTCCTTCCTTCCTTGTATGTTAAAATCAGGCAGAGCTGTCACAGCCACCACCTTGACCATAGCCTGTAGACACCCATTTTGAGAGAGAAAAAGCAGGGTATGAGAAAGAGTAAATGGAAGTTTTAATGACTTTGGACACATTCTTTCCCATCGCCAGCATGTGACCACCAACAGGTTGTCCCAAGGATCTGCAGGTTTTGACCTTTCTAAAGCAAATGAAGATACAGACATTTCAATAATCTTGTGTACTGGATGTAGATGTAGGCATAAAATACTTGTTTAGTTGCACAAAGAAAAATAAATGCCAGTATGTTATGTCTGGCTGACTATGTGATCAACAATAGTAGAATAGAATAAAAAACTCATAACAATTGGAAATATAAAAAACCAGCTGATATGAACTACAGAAATAATAACTTAGAAAACTGACACCCACCCACCCCCCGAAGAATTAAAAAAGAAAATTATGGCATATGCAGAATGATCAGTAGAAAAACAGCCAGCATTGAAAGTTGAATCCCCCAAAGATCTGGCACTTATAATGAAGGAATTGTAATTCTTATAATAATACCCTTGTAAGGATTAAAATATCCATTGAATAGACCAATCAGCTTGCCTACAATACAGCAATGGTGGTTACAGAAGCACTGGGTTTCAAAATTAGAAAACCAAAAGCAACTTTATATTCAATCCCAAAATCAAAGATCAGATTGGAGGTCAAGATAAAGAAATTAAGACCAGATACAAAGAACATGAAAGAGCAAAAAGTAAAGCCTAATCAGAAAATATTGTTTTAGCATCAGAAAAAAATGAAGAAACTTTAAAAATCATAAAGCAAGAGATAATAGCAGTAGCTATGAAAATGGAACACTATGAGGCACAAATCAACCAATTTTTTAAAAAATCAGCTATTTCAATCAGAGCAAAGGAAATTCTACTAAAGTATAAATGGTAATAGAAATTCTGAAAATGGAAAACCAAACAAAGAGGAAACAATACCGTTTTGGAAGGATCAATGGGAAACTCAAAAAGATTAATAAAAATGCTGGATGGATAAAAGAATTTGAGGATGAATTTAGTAAAAATCAAATGGAAGAACAAATAATAACAGAATAAATGGGTAAAAATCAAATAAAAGAATTAAAAACTGGACATCTCTTGGAAATGATTAATTGGATGCTTTTGTCTTAAATATCTGGCTTAACTTACATCCAATTATACCTAAACAGCTTAATGAAGCATTGCATAAAGGAAACATAGGCAGCTGATTAATAACTGGCAAAAACCTGTCTGATTCAAAAAAAATCTAGTGAAAGGATAACACCAGGAAACTACAGGCTGATAACATGCTCGCGTATAATGTTTACACTACTCATAGACATAATAGCAGACAACATCCAATTATTTAGAAGAAAATAACATCCTTCCAAAAAAGAAATAAAAGGGCAAGCAAGCAAGCAATCAACTTCTGATTGATAAAATGATTTTGGAGAATTGCAAAATCCAAAAAAACAATTTACACATGGTCTGGATTGATTATAAAAAGACATAGACTATAAACCTGATTTTTTTTACTAGGTATAATGCCAGAAAAACGTGATAAGCAAAGTACATATTTGATTCTACATGTGATAACAGCGGCAAGAATTATATTTGCACAATATTGGAGGAATGAAAAAATACCACCAGAAGAAGAAATAATAAAAAAAAAAAATACTAGATTGTGCGGAAATGGACAGACTTATTTTAAGGTTGAAAGAAAAAGAAGAAACAGAATATTTCCAAACTTGGGACCTATTTTATCAATGGTTAGAGAAAAGATTTAGGGATTAGGAATTTAATTTGTATTAGTGAATAAGATACTCAGAGAACACATTTTTGTTGAATGATTACTATTGAATTCTGTTAAAAAAATTAATAAAACTTTATTAAAAAAAGACACAGAACACAGAGTAATAGAGTTGGAAGGAACCTCAGAAGTCTTCTAGTCCAACTCCCTGCTTGAGCAGGAGATCCTATATCATTTCAGACAAATGGCTTTTTGAAAGACTTCCGTGATGGAGCACCTACAACTTCTGAAGGCAAGCTATTCCATTGATTAATTGCTCTCACCATTAGGAAAATTCTCCTTAGTTCTAGGTTGTTTTTCTCCTTGGTTAGTTTCCAACCAGTATTTCTTGCCTGGCCATTTGATGCTTTGGAAAATAGTTTGACCCCTTCTATTAATGCAGCCTAGGTCTGTGTTGACTTTTTTAGCTGTTGCCGCACACTGTTGGTTCATATTTAAGTGATTGTCCACTAGGACTCCAAGATTCCTCTTGCGTTTACTGGCATTAAGCCAAGTTTTACCTAGTGTTTACCTATGCAGTTGGTTTATCTTACCTAAGTGTAGAACCTTAATTATCTGAATTTCATTTTGTTAGATAGGGTTCAGTGTTCAAGTTTGTCAAGATCTGTTTGAATCTTCAACTTTTCTTCTGGAGCATTGACTATTCCTGCTAACTTAGTATCCTCTGCAAATTTGATGAATTCCCCTTCAATCCCCTTGTCTAGATCATTTATGAAGATATTGAAGAGTACTGGGCCTAATACGGAACCAGTGGGGTACTTGCTGTTTACTTCCCTCTGTGTGGATGTAGTTCCATTGAGGACTACACATTGAGTACAATTTGTCAGCCAGTTGCAAACTCACCTGGTAATGGTGCTGTCTATCCCACAATATACTAGCTTCAAAAGAACCTACTTCTTCTATTTTTCTAATCAAAAGTAGACATTTGATTCATTACCACATAGTTGGATCATCAAATGTTTGAAAGCAACTGTTAGTAATAAAAACATTAAAATGTTTATGGAAAAAGTAATGAAACAGTAGAAGACAAATTGGTAGTTGGGAATGAAAAATATGGCCTTGTCAATATTAGAGGAGGCATCTAATGAGAGGGCTACTCATTATCATTCTTACTATATGCCATTGCTAATGATCCCACTTTCAGTGATTTTGAAGAAAACAAATCTTGGCTACCACACAGCAAAAAATCCTAATAAAATCTCACATTTGTTTTATATGGATGATCTGAAGCTTTATGGAAAAATCAGAAATTGAAATCCTTCATTGAAAAAGACTGTAAAAAAAATTAGCACAGCTATAGTGATGGAATTTGGCCTAGAAAAATGTGCTGTGGTAGTAATAAATTGGGCTAAATCACAAACAGTAATGGAATTGAAATGCAAAATGGCTAAACCATCAGAAGCTGTCAGGATGAAACCTACAAGTGCTGGTAATTTTATAATTGGATAACATCTCACATGGCCAAGTTTAAAAAGTGATTACTAAAGAATACATCCAAAGAGTGACAAAATTGAATGGAAGAAACATCAAGGCCATGAATACCTAGACCATAACTGTGATATAATAAACTGCTAGAATTATTAACCGAACATAAACTGAACAGGACAGTTTGGACCAAAATACAAGAAAACTATTCAGTATTCACAGGGCTTTTTTTCTCGGAGAAAAGGTGGCGGAACTCAAACCTGGCCACGCCCTCATCAAACCCTAGGACCGCCCCTTTAGAGAACAGGAATGCAAGTAAAATTTGGGAGGGGCTATTTCCGGTGCGGCCGGCCCGGAAAAAGGTGCCGGAACGCGGTTCCGCCGCGTTCCGG